ATTAGTTTGTGAGATATTCCCTCAATAAAGCGTTCTTCCTTTAGAGAATCCAATTGCAAGTTGGCCTATTTGAGTTTCTGGAAATTCCTCCAGTAAAGCATTTAATTTAAATTTAACCCAGCATTTCTCAAGTTTAATCATGGAAATCTTGTTTCAGAAAACATTGACATCTCATAGACTTAATCATCCATACACTATCTCAACAAGATACCCTGGCTCCAGCAGTTCATTCTTTGTTGAATTTGCACCTAACACTGGACTTCATCAAAAAACACTATGAGGATTTTGAGGAGTCTCTATTAACCCATTATAGTAAGAAGCTCTTATTTTTTTAATTTATTTTTTTATTTTTATTTTTTATTTATTTATTTTTTTTAATTTTATTTTGTCGATATACATTGTGGTTGATTATTGTTGCCCCTTACCAAAACCTCCCTCCCTCCTACCTTTCCTCCCTCCCACCCAACAATGTCCTTTCTGTTTGCTTGTCCTATCAACTTCAAGTAATTGTAGTTGTTATATCTTCTTCCCCCCCCCCGTTTTTGTTTTTGTTTTTTTTTTTTGTGTGTGTGTGTGTGTGTGAATTTATTTATTAATTTTTAGCTCCCACCAGTAAGTGAGAACATGTGGTATTTCTCTTTCTGTGCCTGATTCGTTACACTTAATATAATTCTCAGTAAGAAGCTCTTAAATTCAGAGCATATAAGAACCATGTGAGGAGCTTGTTATGATGCAGGCTGCTGGGCACTACACTAGATGCAGTAATTTAGAATCTCCTGGAATAAATACAGGAATTAGAGCTCAGAATTACTCTACAGGTGATTAGGTTGTAGAGAGTCTTCAGTCCACAGTGATAGAAACACTATCTTATGTTTTTTATCATTGGAAGAAACTAGAAGTCATAGTCATAAAAACAAATCCCACTAGCTAGGACCATTTATCATCTGCAAGCTATAGATGATGCAAGCTTGCAGACAACTTGTGAACATCCACAAACCCTACTGAATAGCTCTGATCCCAACTTCAGAAGAGCATAATATTAAAATGTGAATATGGCTTTAGCTGCAACTATGAGGTCAACAATTTGGGGAAAATCTAGTTAAAGTCTGAATATTTTTTTTCTTTTAATTTATCAACATACAATGTAGTTGAATTTCATGTCCCTTTACCAATTCCTCCTTTCCCCACCCATCAACATCATATCTATTCACTTGTCTTAACAAGTTCAAGGAATTGTTGTGTTTGTTGTGTCTTCTTCACCCCCCCCCATTTATTTGTTTATAAACTTATTTATTTTTATTAGCTCCCACAAAGAAGTGAGAACATGCGGAATTTTTTTTTTTCCTTTTTGTCTTTTTTTACTGACCAGTAACGGGATCGCAACCCTCGCTGTTGCACCCGCACCACGCTCAGCCAGTGAGCGGGAACCGGTCTCCACATGGGATCTGAACCCTCAGCGGGAGCGCCGCCGCGCTCCCAAGCGGCGCACTCTCCAGTGCGCCACCGGGCCAGCCCAGAACATGCTGAATTTTCTCTTTCTGTGTCTGGCTTATTTCACTTAATATAATTGTCTCTAAGTCCATCCGAATGGTAGTATTTCACTTTTTTTTTTATAGCAGAATAGTATTCCATTGTGCAGATATACCACATTTTCCTTTTCCACTCATCCAGTGATGGGCATTTAGGCTGGTTCCAATTCTTGGCTATTATAAATAGCGCTCATGTCAAAAGGATACCTTTACTCCCATGTTTAAAGTCTGAATATTCAATAAAAGGGGCAGACGGTCAGATGTCTCTCACTCCTGCTACCCACCTGTAGCTTATTCACTGTCACCATAAACTGAATTGTGAGAAATCAAGGTTAAAGGAGTAGGGAAGAAACTTAAATCATCCAATCTTATGACTTATTAATAACTAATGAATGTGATAAAAGGAAGGCTGGAATGAAGAGCTAGCTAAAATGTTATTTTTAGACTATCTGTGATTTTCATTTGCTCTCATAACCACAAATGATGAAAAATTAGGCTGTCAGAAATTTCAAAGCAAGATAGCAGAACATAATTTTTAAAAACCTGGAATTCATCAAGTCATCATCTTCTGAAACATATTTTTCTCTGAATTCTTCAGGTAATATGAAGATAAAAATTCTGCATTTTTCACAATATGCTGTACATTTTCTTACAGGAAAAGGGATGACTTATGGTAAGCAGTGACATATATTGAAAACAAGCACACTTTTGGTTTCTGGGCCACTAGTTACATGTACTGTGAGAAAACCCTACAGGTGATTTGCAGGGTTTCAGGAGAATTTACTTTTATCTTTATAGCCCAAAATATACAGATAACTTGTTTGTGAATAACTTGTGGGGATCACAGTCTCACATCTCAGATATTCTGTCTTATTTTATTTTGATAACCAGAGTTACAACCTCTTTACAATCGGGAAGTGGTGTTAAATAGTGCTGTGTTTATTCTTCAACAACTCCATAAAACTGGTGTCCTGACAAATACATTATTTGCATGGGCTTTCTTTCTAAAGGGCTTCAAAATGTCCTGGCACAGAGTTATGGGCTTCATTTTATTCCTCTTGCTACACAGTTGTTTTGGCTTAGTATATAGAATATATCAACACTTACCAACATAAAGCTATAAAAATAGCGCGTATCTCATCAATTTCACAGTTCCATGCATTCTTATTTGCATAAATTCATATTTTGTTTAATACTGTAACTGCCATTTACAATCCAGCACCAAGAGTTAGATTTAAAAATATGTTATGAAACTCTGATGTGATAGTCACTTACACACATCCTTATGGGAAATGGATATTTAATCTTTTTCTTCATTGCAGCACTGCACTGGCTCAAAATACATATATACATATGCTGCCCAATTGAAGAATCAGTCACTAATCAGATTTCGAATATGTTATTTTTGTGTTCAGATCCTCACCCCTATCCCAACTACTTTTCAGGTTTTCCTTTAAGATAACCAAAAACAAAACCATAGTTATTCAAGCTTGGCACTACGGAAAGAACACTTTTAAAAATGAAGCTGAACTGGGTTTAATTCTATTTATGTATTTAGAATACAGTGCCTGTAGAACTGTGTTTACAATTATCAGTTGGTAAGGTTTGGATCGTGCCTTTGGTCTCTCAAAAGACCATACTTTGTAGATCCAGGGCACTTTTAAATTTCCCACTGGATTTCTGGTGTGCTTAGCTAATTCTGTGCATCCCAATGTGCAGTACACACCTGAAAAGGGGGAGTTTTCGATGTTGTGGTTTATTAACCAGGTACTTTCCATTCGCTCAGTTACCAATTAGAAAACAGAAAGAAAAAAAGAGAGAAACCTTCGCTTTTACTTTTTTTTTTTTTTTTTTTTTTTTTTTTTTTTTTTTTTTCACTCCAAGTAAGGAGACGGAAACTATTCATCAAACAAGAAGAAGGGAAACTCCCGCATATTTCACCTTGACCTGGCTGGACTGATCTGATGCCTGCAAGAGCTGCTAATGGAAAAATTAGAGGTCAGATTTCACGATGGGGAACCACTCCTGCCCCTAGAGGAAAAAGAGAACCATCACCCTGCGTCTCCAACTGGAAACAGTGCCTTATTTCCATTCCAAGGGGACTGGGTTTCCTCCCTCGGCTTAGCGTGCTAGTCACAGGACCCGAGGAGGCGCGCTGATTTCGGCACAACTGCCCAGCAGAGCACCGGCTCCCGCTTGCATCTAAATATCTGAGCTTCAAGCAGGCAGAAATGCCCTCCCACCTCTCCTTATCTTCTCTCTCCCTCCTTCGCTGGCTTCTGTAACTTCTTTGTTCCGTTTACTGGAAAGGTGACGCTTAAGGTCAAAAGACCCACTGTAACTAGCCAAATCCTAGAGCCACCACAGACCCTGGGAAAAAGTAGGGCTATCCAACCCAGGGCTTGGGCTCTGAGTGGAAAAGGAGTGGCGAGAAATCTCGTCCAGTAGCTCCTGGAACAGCTCCTGCGGACTCGTCCAACTCGCCAAGGACTGGGGAGACCCGGGACAGCCTTGGGGTGGGGCAGAGGGCGAGCTCCTAACTCTGCAAGCAAGTGGGCAATGCGCACCACCGGAGCAGAGGGTGCTGGAGGCGGGGAGGCCCCTGAACTCCACTTTGTACGCAGCAGCTGCGGGGCCGTGAGTACGTATCTCCGAACAAAGGAGCGCGCAGTCCGGGGGCGAGAGATTAGGGTTTGCTCGCAGCTGCCACTCGTGCTGAGCGAGTCTCCCACCACACCCGCTAGGCGAGCGCTGGGGAGCAAGGATTCGGGGGAGGCGGGAGAGGGAGACGCGGCGTGCGATTCCTGTTGCGCGGCTACGCATCAAAAGTTCTTGTGAACCAAGGAATGGCAACTATCAGAGCCGGGGAGTGGAGGGAGAAAAAGAGCCGGAGTGAGCAAAACAGAGAGCGAGTGTGGGCCGCGGTGACTTCATGCCTCACCAATGTCCCGCCCACGCTGCCCCGAGCTGTTGCTGCTACTGCCTCCCGGGGGCCGCAGCGCCTGCGGGCCGCCGGGCTAGGCGCTCGGTAGCGTGGGGAGGTTTCCTAGCAACTTGCGGCCCGCAGCGCGCCCAGCTATCCGCGGGTCGGGAGTCCCCCCTCCCCCCTGCCGCCCCCCCCC